GACTGTACTTCAATGGTTCCACCTGCCAGTGGTTACTGTTGTTTAGTGCTCGAGGACTTCTACTTCTATCTGCGTGCCATTTTTTCTGCGCCTGCTTGTGGTTGTGAGCTGGAGGGGGGGAAAATGCATGGAGATCGATGTTTCATATTTCAGTTGGGCCTCGCTGCTCACAGCCTGTTCGGCTGGAGCGGAGCTCTCTCACGCGGGCACCGGTCACATGAACAGTGTTTTTAGCGAGGAACATTATTTTTTCTCACACAAAACAGCCAACAGTATTTACTCACGAACCAGCAACGAACGAACCAACATAAACAGTGTTTTCAGTCTATGGTTTGCGACTGTTTTATGGCTTTGGCTGTTCTCCCTACCGTGCATGCCAACAAGAGAAGGATTCCACCATCAAGTTGCTAACGTTAAGTCGTTGAAAAAATATATTTTGAACATCAAAATTGGAGTTCCAATGAAGAAAAGGAAAATTGGGCACTGTTAGCCAAAATCGGTCTGAGCAGATTCCCAAACCGATCTGGTCGGTTTCTCTGTGTTCTATCTGGCAACACAGTTGAGCCCCGTGAAAACCGGCTAGGCCATTTTCCAGAACCGGTCAGGTCAGTTTTTAAAACCGGACGGGCCGGTTTTACTGTTCTGAGTACGGTTTGTTTCCAACTCATTAATCCATTTTCGTCCGTGGGAAACTTCAAGATTGTGTCCTAGATATGTTTCCTACCGGGTTAAGACCACTCCCTCTGTATATATGAGAGGATCATGACCGATTAAATAATCCAACTTGTAATTGCCATAAAAATACATCTGCTACTTTTTTTACCCTAACTTTTGCAGCCCCTGTTGTTCGTCATGTCTTTTAACAAGATTTGGCGGCATTCTAGATGATCTTGCCGATCCCAGAGCAACTTCGCTATGCCCCTCCTCGACATAGCTTCCCAGGAGGTGTCCAGGAGTATATATATACCAAACGAAGAACGAGCGACGGATTGCTCTAACTGACTTGCTAGTCGATCTCACTATTCTACCATGTTTTTTTTTCTTTCTGCGTGCTAGATCGCGTGTGAGCTCGCACGTGCTAGTCCTTGCTGGTATGACTCAATTCGGCTTAACAAGTATATCTAACCTATGCATTAGCGCATCTCCAATGGAGTTAAAACAGTTAGCTTATAGAATATTTTATTCAACAAAAAGAAAAGAGAATATAAACCACCTCTTTATAAAGAGATAAGCTCATGCACTTTTCTATGATTTATATATCAATGTTTACACAATTTTCTATACTAGCATGTCTATTCTATTTTTTTAAGTTCGTATAAGCTAACGAGTTGTTTTTTAAGACCGAGAGGAATGCTTGTGTTCCTCTTTCCTCATGGAAAAAGGGACTACATTGACGTCTCATCCTCTAGGTGCCCAAGGCGCGACTGTTCTCCCACCCAAGTCCCAACATCATCACATCACTTCATCCTATAGGGCTCATATTTTGATCACAAAATAAACGGGCTTTCTAGCGCCTGAACGTCCGGACGGACGGGGCGTCCGGATGCTTGCACCTCCAGTTGTTCCCCGCCCTGTTTCGCATGCCCACATGGGACCCGCACCACCCCGAACGCCACCAACATCGAGAAGAGGGGGAGGGGGCGGCGGATGCCCAGCCGGCGCCGGGAGGAGGAGCAAAAACCGAGGCGAGGCAGCAGAAAGCGAGGAGGGAGATGCAACACCCGATCTACTTTCGAAACATCCAGACGCAACACTTGCAACATACGTCTGAAGGCAGATGAAACACTCGAAACATGCATCTGAAACATTTGTAAAACACACATGTAAAACACTTGAAAACCATTGTAAAACATACGCAACATCCAAATAAAATACTTGCAACATGTGTGAAACATACGCAACATCTAAATAAACACACTTGCAACATACGTCTAAAAAAATAAATGAAAACATTGGGAACAGAAGCTTGAAACATACGTGTACAACCATTGCAACATATGCAACATCCTGATCTACTTTTGCAACATCCACATGAAACATTTGCAACATACATGAAACATCTGAAACACTTGGAGCATAGGCTTGCAACATGCGTTTTTCACCATTCTTCCGTACAATACGGCGTAGAGCGGGAGGGGAGGGGGCGGCCGGTTCCGGCCAGCTGGCAGTCGAGGATGGTGGCGCGGCCTGGCAGCGGCCAGTTGCTCCTTCACCTGGCTTGGGTCGGGCCAGCGATGGCCCCCTCTCCTGGTCGCCTGGCCTAGGCATGGCGAAGGACGGAGCACGTCATGGCGCGGCGGGGGACAGAGGCGCCGCTGCACTCGCCGAGCATGCGCATGGAGCTTGGAGGCGGAGTGCGAGGTGCCGGCGATCGGGTCCGGCGGCAGTTGCAATCAATGGGGCAGCTGGTAGCGTTCTTCGCACAGAGGATTCCTCCTCTCTGCGGGGGATGGCGGCAGCAACGAGCCAAAGTGGGCGGCGACGCGGGATGGAGGCGGCGACGCGGTGTATTGGGATGGTCAAACGGCCACACAGCGCCGTGAAGCCACGATGGAAGAGTGCGGAGTGAGGGAGATTTGATTTTTTTCTCAGGTTCGAACGGACGCCCGTGGCCAAGTATTACCGTAAAATAAAAGCTGGTTCCTTGAATATATTTTTAATAAGAAAAAAACTATTTCCATAGTAACGTTTTTGGAAATTTGTGATGCCTAGAACCGCAGGATTGCATTTTGGAGGTAAAACAAGTAAACAACTGACACCAAGGTATGCTTTCCCTATGCTTAGAGTTGGCAGTAATTCAGGTTGGTTTTCAGAGACGAGATGGAAACAGGAAAATAGCCACACACTCTAGTCCCATCTCTAGTTTGATAATACAAGGTTGATGCTACTATATTCATCATGAAAAATATATTACATAAATTTTGTTCACAGTCTAATTAATAGAAATTTGATAGACCTGCTTATGTTGTGAACTGCTTATATTTGTCGTTAGATTGTTAGAAGGATTATAGGTAGTGAATTAAGCTCATTATGATGGAATATAAGAATCCAGAATTGATTTTTCGATTTTGGATGGGTGCTCGTATCTTCATAAATTTATTGTCAATATGTAATGGTGTTACCTTTCAAAAAGAAAAATGTAGTGATGTTTGTTTTCAGTTATAGACATGCTCATTGGCACTAAGATTTTGATAAGCTCAAGATTAGTTTAGAGTTTGCGTGGACTAAAAAAAGATTGCTAGTAGTATTCTTTTGTCTTGCCTAGTAGAGGTTAAAAAACTGGCTTTCGCCGTTTCGCGGAGTAGCCCTGTTTGGTTACCCCTCCTAAAAGCTTTAGGAGCTAAAATCTGGATAGAATCCGTCTAAAGAACCAAACACCCCCTCCTAAAACCTCCTAAAAGTTTTAGAAGGCTGATTTTTCTTTAGGAGCTCCATCTCCTCCTAAAACCTCCTAAAGTCCTTCCTGGACCTCCACTACCCCTCATTTATTGCCTTCTCCCTCTCTCTCTCCCCTAAAGAAGAGTAAAAATGTCTTTGTTCAACAACATTTATTGCCTTTAGTCAGTTTTAGGAGGTGCAACCAAACACTCTTTTAGGAGGTTTTAGAAAACTACCTAAAACTTTTAGAAACTAAAGTTTTAGAAGCTCGGAACCAAACAGGGCACTTTTAGAAACTAAAGTTTTAGAAGTTCGGAACCAAACAGGGCCTATGTATAGAGAAGTGTGTGTTTTAAAGGACCGAGGTGTTAGCCCTGTCACGGCCATTTTTTTGACCACTATGGACTAACTAGGCTCAAAAAATTCATCTCGTGATTTACAACCAAACTATGCAATTAGTTATTTTTTTACCTACATTTAATGCTCCATGCATACGTCCAAAAATTAATGTGATGGAGAAAGAGTGAAAAAACTTGAAACTTTGATGTCATCTAAAAACAAGGCCTGCATCGCAGTTCGCAGGCGGTGATTACTCGCCGGAACGAACTGTAAACTACTCCAGCTAATCATCGATGGCCATTGATGATGGCCCGGCGTCCCGGCCGGGCTCGTTCGTTGAGCGGCACGAGTTTCCAGGAAACCCAAGGAGCAAGACGACACACCGACCTGGAAAGCCTCGCGATATCCAGAATCCCGACGCGAGCCGCCGAGCGGTTTTAAAAACAGACTCGTTGCATCTCTGAAGCCAACCGGCTCGTTGCACTGACCGACCGACGACTGAACATGTGTCGAACTACTATCAAACACCGTACTACAGTAGTACGTGCATTACTGCAAAATTTAGAATGCACAACCATGCGTGTCAAAATAAACTCGCAACAGATCTTTCTCTTCTTCCTCGAAAACAACAGGGAATCAGGGTCAGGGCCAGGGACCACCATGCCGCTTCCTTCATCATTATGGAGAAACTAACACGACAAGGAAAGGGAAAACAAGGCATCGGCAAAGGATTGCGTCTACTTCCATACGATAGATAGATAGAGAGATGTTCTCACAAAGAAAAGAAAAAAGGTAGAGAGATGGGGCGCTGGCACGCTGCACGCAGCGAGAGTGACGTGATACTGATACCACAGCCGCAGCCCGCAAGCGGCGAGCCCGAAACGTATAACCAGGGGGGGAAAGGACGAACGAATTCCATTCCAACCCTCCCTGGACCCGGCCACTTCGCCTGCCTCCCGCTCTCCCTCTCTCAAGACGCCGCCACCCCCCGGCGACCCAACAGCACGAGACCCACAGGGATACTGATCGGAGGCGGTGTCTTCTAGTTCTAGCCGCAACCGCCCGCAGCCGCACCGCTCCGTCCGCGCCCGTCCATCTTCTCCAACTAGTGGCAGCGCGGCCGCAACCGCTCACCGACCACTCCTTCCCCCAAATTTCTCCGCATTCATAGCGCTCCACCTCCCTGCCTGCCCGTTACGCCGACGCACGCACCAAAGGGACGAGAGCGAGGAGGCCAAGCCAAGCAGCAGCGGCGGCAGAGCCAGACAGACGCAAGCGCCGCAATGCAGGGCTCCAAGACCAAGTAAGCGTCCGTCCCTCCGTCACACCCCTTCTGTGCTGCTTCTTGATCACTGCGACTCCGCGCGCGAGGTGGATCCCCGCCGCGGCCAGCGGCGGTGGGTGGATCCTTCACCGTCTGATTCTGACGGTGGTTCCGTTTCTTGGTTGGGCCGCAGATCTGGCTCGGCGGAGGCGAAGAGCAACGGCAAGCCAAAGCCGGACAAGGAGAAGAAGGGAGGCGGCACGCCGCCAACCCCCAAGGACAACAGGCCGCGCAAGCCGGCCGTGCCCAAGGCGAGCGTCGCCGGCCATGGCACGCCGCGCGCGGCCGACAAGTCACCCGGTTCGGGGTCGGCCGACCGCAAGGCGCCCACGCCCAAGGCCGCCGCCGCCTCCCGCCTTGCCACGCCTCCGGAGGTATGGCAATCCGCGACGACCACCGTACCACCGCCTGCGGTTCGCGGGCGCGGAAATCCGTGTGCTTTTTTTCGCGGAATTCAGACTTGTTTTGATTGATGGTTTCAGAAGCAAGGGGGCAAGCCCGCGAAGCCGACGCAGGAGCAGCAGGCGGCGAAGCCTGCTCAGGAGCTGCAGGCGCAGCTTGCCGCGGTCCGAGAAGAGCTCGTGAAGGCCAAGGAGCAGTTGGTGGAGAACGAGAAGGAAAAGGGCAGAGTCCTTGCGGAGCTGGAGCGTGCCAAGAAGGCGGCTGATGAGGCCAATGCCAAGCTGCAGGAGGCGCAGGAGACTGATAAACTCCCTGCCAGCGAGTCGGAGCAGGCAAGCATGCACGGCCAGCAGGAGGCTGATGATGCTGCGCTGCGGTCGACAGTGGAGCAGCTTGAGAAGGCCAGGTATGAGCTGGCCGATGCAATCGATGCCAAAAATGAAGCTCTCAGCCAGGTGGATGATGCTGTTAGGGCTTGTGAGGTGAAGGCTCAGGAAGTTGAGCTCCTCACTGCAGAGGTTAAGCGCCTGAAAGAGCTGGTTGATTCCAAGATGGATGGCAAAGGGAAGAAGGCTGCAGAAAGAATTCAGAATCTTGAAGCAGAGAACTCTGCATTAAAGCTCAAGCTTGAGAAAGCAAAGGCTGCTGAAGAGAAGGCAATTCAATTGGAGCGCATGGTTGATGAACTTAAGAGTGATGTTGGTGATGCTAGGAAGTCTGGTTCCAAGTCAGAGCTGTTAGCTGATGAATGGCAGAAGAAAGCAGAGCTGCTTGAGGTCAGATTGGAAGAGGCTGATCAGTCTAATATTTTGAAGGGTGAGTCTTTGAATTCAGCAATGGAAGAGTTGGATTCAACAAGTAGTTTGCTCCGTGATAGAGAATCTGAAGTTGCTGCTCTTCGGGACAAAGTCAGGTTCTTGGAGGATGAGCTGGCAAAGCTCAAGAGTGATATTGTTGTGTCGGACCAACGGGCCAATGCTGCGGAGAAAGAGGCGGCAGATCTATGGACAGAGGTTGAAGGGCTTAGGTTGAAGCTCCAGACAGCGGAAGAAGAGAAAATGGAGGCCCTGAGCAGTGATAAAAATGCAAGCTCAGAAATAGAGACCTTGAATGAACAGAAGAACCAGCTGGCTGACGAGAGCTTGAAGCTACTAAAGATGAGCTTGAGAAAGTTAAGAAGGCAATGGAGGGTCTGGCCTCAGCCTTACAGGAAATGTCAGCTGAATCCAGAGAGGCGCAAGAGAAGTACCTTCTCAAACAAGATGAGATTGAGCGTGCTCAGGCACAGGTAGAGGAGCTTAGCTTGAGTCTGAAGAATACTAAGGAGAACTATGAGCTAATGCTTGATGAAGCAAACTATGAGAAGGTTTGCCTTACGAAATCAGTTGAAAGGCTAGAAGCAGAAGCTAAGGGTGCGCATGAGGAATGGCAGTCCAAAGAGCTAGGTTTTGTCAACTCTATTAAGAATTCAGAAGAAGAGATAGGTGCTATCAGAGTTCAGATGGACAGGACCTTGGAGATTGTTAAGGAGAAAGAAAATGAAAACACTGAGTTGCAGGAGAAGCTGCAGCAGCTTGAGTCTCAGCTAATGGAAGCTAACAGAATCAGGGAGGAAGCCAACGCTGAAACTGTCCAATGGAAGGAGAAGGTATTAGACCAAGAGAATGAATTGCAGAACATAAAACAGGAGAATGACGACCTGCAGGCAAAGGAATCAGCTGCTTCTGAGAAGATTAAGCAACTCTCTTCCCAGCTTGCAAATGCAAAAGATGGCACGATAAATGGTAACACCAAGGAAGGAGATAATGAGAAGGGGGACACTGAAGATGAAGATGAACCTGTTGTGGTAGTTTCCAAAATGTGGGAGAACAGCAAGTTTGCTGACTATGATTCATCTAAGGAGAAGGAGAATGATGGTGACTCACAGGTTGATTTGGAATCAAACAAGGAAGATGCAGGTCTTGACAGCAATGGGTTGCACTCAACTAAGGAGAGCAGTGGCAGGACATCACCAACTAAACAGCACCAGCAGCATAAGAAGAAGCCTTTGCTGAAGAGATTCGGTGGTTTGCTGAAGAAGAAAAGCGAAAATTAGCATAAAACCATCTGATGATATTCTTTGTTCTATCCTTTGTGACATATTTCTTTGACTAGCAATCTAGTTCCTGAGTCTTCCCCCATGTTATGGTAAATCAAATGATGGATGCTTCAAAGAATACAAAGTGTCGACTGTATTTACATAATTGCATCCGCTGAGTTCATGTCTTACATTTTTGTATGTTTGATGATCATTCGTATGCCAGCTCCTGTAATTGTTTCATTATATGCTTTGTTAACGTTGCTGTCTATGAAGCAGAGATTTTCGAATCAGTTATTATACTACTAAAAGGTCAAAAAAAACTGTATGAGCAGTGACGATCCCCATGTTCCTGAGCTGACATTACAGAGTGATGATAGCAACGGGTCATGATGCATTATTGGACGGAAAAGGCCTGTTAAACATGTGAGAGCCAGTAGGGTTCTTGATGAGGCTGTTGGCCTTCAATAATCGATTTGCTCCGGGTACCCTTTTATTTTATTTTTTTTCCCTTTGGCAATTGCCCCCACTCCCCTAAAGTTAATATAAGATGCTACTCCTACATTATAAGGTGCATGCTATTTCCAATTATTCAGTTGGCTCACAAGGACCTGGAGTGATGTGCCTGAATAAATGAGTCCATCAGCAACACCAAAAGATCAGGTTCAGTTCAGATGAGCAACTTCCGCTGCTCACCGCCTTATCAGTTGAAACTTCCAGGAATGCATGCCAAAATACGTGAGTTAAGATGGGAGTCTGAACATGGACAGGGGTCACCGGCTTTGCCATTCTCTGGAGATCAGCAGCTACATGAGGAGATGCATGGACCATGGTGCAGAGGGACCACCACACCGGTCTTCTACTACTCTTCTCAGTGAAACCATGTGAAGCTCTGGCAGCTCCCGCGTGAAATGAAATGGTAGGATTCAATTTCTCAATGTCGACGGTTGACACCTTTTTGTATCGTGTACTCCGTTGTTTCACAGTTCACTGCATTCTGCATTCTGGTTGCCCCAGCAGTAGTAATGGTAAAGAGGCAACAGTGTCCGGTAAAGTGGAGCCGAGAACACTGCAGCATGATGGAGAGCAGTTTTTGGACCTTTTGGTTGTTACCGATTCTACAGAATAGTACAGTCTGATCTCTGCAGCTCACAAAGTCACACGTGACATGTATATACTGAAAGTTTTCAACTTTCTGCCGCTTAACAAAATTGACTGAAATGGAAGTGCACAACTGCCCAAGCCAATTCATGCATGAAGGTGCTACATTGCGTCAGTAACCAAGCACCAGGAGGGGGAAAGATGTAAGGTAATAGAGTATAATTTTTTAATTGATATAGAATGGGATTCCTAACGCTTTTTAACTCAAAATGTAAACCTATGTGACTATGTCAGTAAAGATACATGTCCACTGCAACCTCAGAGTACATCTCCTAGAAAGAGAATTCCTCGGGTAAACATTTGCCAAACTTGCTGGATAGAAAGTTCCTGTACTTCCCCTTGAGTTCCCCAACTGCAACCAAAGATGTATTTCTGTCGGTTAAAATTGGACTACACTTTATGGATATCACTTACCAAGATATTGAGTATGTAGGGCGTCAAGAACTATTTACCTCTAAAGTCATCAGTTTTGATGTCAGGAAGATTGTGAGATAGTGCCAGCTTCAATAATTTCATAAACCCATTGTCTGTCAAACAATATTTGTCATCTTGTCATCTTAGTGTCCATTCCAGGAAAGCAAAGTGAACAATACGAGAAAGGTAATGTTATATTACCATCAATGTACTTTCCAGAGTGCTTAGCATTGATCAGATATGCTGGTGTATCATCTTCTTTCAACTGCAAAGGCAGCACATCAATCTTCAGAGCCAATACCAGAAAGACAGTAAATGGGCATAAGGTAGAGAACTAATATGAGTTACTAAATAACCAGAGAGAAAAACAAAGAAATAGAGCCACCTACATGTGAGAATAAGGAACTTGCAAGCGCAAGTGGGTCAGCAGGAGAGGGGGCCCTGCTGTATGCTGGGACAAATTTTCCATCGTGATATCCAGTCAAGAAATGGTAAGCAGCCTGGCCAGCAGAGAGCTTTGATACAGATGGTATAGCACCTGTGCTGAAAGTAGAAAAGACCAATACATTGTTACCAAACTTAGTCCCATTCCTTCTTGTCACAACTACAAATCTTTTTTCATTTTAATTATCATATAAGAGATGTTAATGTTCCTGTTTAGCAAAAGAACTTTTGTAACACTCCACGAACTGCATGTTTTAGACAAGACAAATGTCATCAAAGCATGGACTGCTCATTACCTATCAGATGATACAATAATTACTGCAGTTGGTTTGGTAAACAATTTTGGCTCCCTTCTTGCCTTTGTTGGGAAAAGCACAGTAGACCCTTTAGAAGAGATGACTACACCACAGTCAATGGACAATAGAGCATTGTGGATTTCTAAGCAGGACATCATGATTTCCACCGGGGCAAACAATAATACAATAGAACCACCAAAGCACAGAAGCCTGAAATACACAATACGAAAGGAAAATAAGAACTTTACAGAAACATAATCAATGAAGATTAATAAGCTGACTTTACCAGCCTGGAACCGGGAGGCCTCCTCTTGCAGACAATATTGGAGCTGTCATAGCAGTAAGTGCATCTTTCACAAGAGCTGAATCAGCAAATGCTTTACCGCATAGGATTAGAGATGATCGTTCAATATCCGCTGCTGCAAATCCATTAGCATATTGTGTTCCAGAACCAAGAATAGTCTTAACATTGTTACTGCTTCAAACATTCATAAAGAAGATATTAATTAGCCTTCCATTATAGCCAACTACAGACTTCGCTTCTTTCTGGAAAATATTACTTGAATGAATGAACAAGTTAAAATCATATGCAAAAGAATGAAAAAGATAATGTACCTTATGGAACTGGTAGCATATATAGTCAAAGGGGATGTGTCATGGGAAATCGCACGATCCGGTATTTTCCAAAGGACATTGGACAATAACATAACAGCAGCGGGGTTATCACTAATGACTCGAACCTTTGCATCACATTCTGCTGAGGAACCAATGGCACCATCTTGAACATATAGACATGAGACGGATGAAAGATGAAACGTCACCTATACAAGCAAGCAGTCTGTCAACAAACAGGGGGATGTTATGGCTAAACTAAGAAGAGTAAAAAAAATCTTGGATGCTGAAAAAAGGGACTAACAGTATTTCAGCTCCATTCAAGATAATCATCATTGAATACCATCCCATTGAGGGATGAAGCCAAAACTTAGAACCTACCAGTTTCAGAAGCTTTGCAAATTGAGCTTTTGAAACACCAGGGACACCACCAATGACATCTCCTCTAACATGAAGTGGTATACCAGACAAGCAGTCTGCATGTTCCAGATGCAGTCACAGAGTTATAGTATCATATGCCAGTTGTACATACACATCATTACAGGACAACAATAATTTGCACATACCTGGGTAAGTAGCACCTCCTTCCTGAAGCTCAGATGTTTCCAAGTTATGGAAGACCTTATCTTTCACAATGACACCTTTCCCAGCAATAGCCCACTTAAGACCATATGAAACTTCTGGGTCTTCTCTGTGCAACAAAGGGTAGATCAGAAATTTTGCAGATATTTTGTAATGACTGGTCAAATAGAATAAAATGAAATATCAAGCTTGACATAATAAGCAGTTAGTGACATAGGTATTCCCCAAGTCGAAATTTTGTGGCACATGTCATAGCTTGTCGTTTGGGAGACCCATACGGTATGTGAAGCTCATAGGCCTAAATATAGACATTAGATCAAGAAGAAACTAGGAAGAGGAGAGTATGGCCACTGACCACACTTACCTTGGATAGGTGATAATCTCTCATTGCTTCTATGGTAAGCACACTGAAACTGCAAAATTCAGAAACCAAAAGTTTTGTCAGGCTTCACACAGAGCACTTCTATTTTTCACAATCACAACGAGCAGACAGTCCTAGTCACAGATTCGCTGTTTACACGGAAACCTCGTTTATTTCTACCATAAACCGATACTCGTAACCAGCTCTTAGACCATCCAACCGCGCGCCACGCGGAAGTGCAGCACTCTAAACTACGGCCCATCTATTCTAATCGTTTAGTGAACAACACCTCCCTCTCCCAGAGGTACACGCTTCTGGCCCTCAGGATGTAGGACGGCAAACCACATCCGAAATCAACCATATCAGTGCCGGTCGCGGAAGGAATGCAGTGGGTCGCAAGCAGCATCACGCGCCCTGAAGAGTGGGAATCGGACGCACCTGTCGGAGGCCCGCCGCCGGCGACGACGCTGCGGCGAGGGCTGCGCGGCGAAGAACCCCGAGCATATGCGGTGCGCCGGTGCTCCACTTCCCCTCCACCGCTCACCGGCCTGGCCGTGTTTTGCTGCGGCGGTCGCTGCCTGCTCGCCGCAGCGGCGGAGATGGGGACGATCCCAGTTCAACTTGGGTAGCCCAACAGGCCAACAGTGCGGCTGCTGGGTAACCCATGTAGCGTCATCAGCCCGTGACGATTCGCTTGACTGGTACGTGTTGCCAAAGGCCCAACAGCAGTTAGCACTTGGGGTGGGTGAATCCCAAAGACGAATTGCACGCCACGTTGGCCCAGCTAACAGTCTTTCCTTTAATCGGCCCGTTCGCTTCGCTGAAAAAACAAAGCGAAGCAATGTTGCGGCTGATTTGTTGTGACAAAGAAATACTGTTTCGACTAAAAAAACAAGCTAAAAAAGATGGATTATAAAAAAAACGAACATGTCCAATGACACAACAACGGTTCCAATTCAACATTCAAATATTCTAGCTTTAAAAAATTCTCGGTTTCACGAGAAAATTGGTCCGTTTCAAATAAAAACTTTAGCTTAAAAATTTTCACTAGAAAAATGGAGCATTCTATCTAAAAAAGTAGAGACACTATTGCAAGATCATCGGAACTAGCGAACTGAGCGCAGGGTCAGCTGTTTATATTTCTGATG